GCGAGGTCTGATTCTGCCCGTGTTGAAACAGAAAACGAACATTTATGTTCTTTTACACATACATATTAAAGGAAGTTATATGTATGTGTAAAATTTGTATGTATAAATACATATGTATAAAATATAAAATAACGTGTGTTATGTGCATGTATAAAATAACATACACTAATGTTAAAGGAAGCTAAATGGATCAGCAAATACTGTATGAAAGAAAAGCTCCTCTATATGCAGGCAGTTGTATGTATGTATATATCTATCTAGAACCAGCTGGTGAGTATCTGTGTGTAGTTTTAGTTGGGATCATATCACATGAAGTCACTTCTCCCCAGACCACCTTGGGGTGCACAAGAAGGGGTGCAAGCCAGCTGCGGTGCAAAGGATAAAGAAGTATTGGTCTCCTGAGACAGCACATTGCTTTAGGCAAAAACCACAATGCCTCAACCTGTTTTTATGGCCTGCTCCACAGAATTACATCTGCTGACTTAATTTTGGAGGCAACAATTAATTCCAGAGGCAACAATCATCCTGTAGCATTGGGAGCCACCCCATTGTTAATGGTGCCTCCTTTGCAGGCAATATCTATCACTGGTCCTCTCTGGGCTTCTGTGGATGCATAGAGGAGGCTGCACCTTACACTAACTGCCCTGTGCTGCAGGGATCCTGCATAGGCACACGCATCACAACAGTCTGCGTGGGTTTTGCATCCTACTTTCACTTAAAGGACACCTAAGCAAGGTCTTGTCACAGAAGAGAGACCTGAGAAAAAGAAGTAGCTCCCAGATCGAAAAATAAAATAGAAAATTCCAACAGGCATTTAGAAGACAAAGGAGAAAGCTCAGATCCTTGAAGATTTCACATCTGAAGTCCAGAGAAGTCCTTTGTCTTGTTTTGCCGCTGCTTGGAACTAAGGAACCAAAGCACTAAGTGTTGAACCATGCTGAAACCCTGTGGGAGGGGGAAAAGAAGGGGGAGAAGATCAGCAAAAGATAAATGAGCAGGATATAAAGACAGAGGATCAGATCTGGGAATGGTTTCTGAGAGTGTAAAGCTGTAAATGTCCAACTTTTTTAAAGCCTAATCCAAACATTTCCTACAGCATGTGGGAGTTCTCAAAACCTCAGCTTCCGACCCAGACTGGCCTCAGTGCTGAGCAGGTAACTATCCAGTATCAGCACATCTAGGGACCAGCCAGTACTGAAATCCTGGAGTGAGGTAATCTTATCCACCCACACCTCATAAAGCCTTGCAGGAACCTATCTATCTGGGAAATCAAAACCCGAGTTTAACGATCCAGAACCTTGTTGTGAAGGTCAGTATTTGTGACATGGAGTTTCTAATTGTTATCCCAAAGAACTGAGGAAGCCCTATGCATTCAGGTTAAAACCCATCTGGAAAAACAGGCGATAAGAAGACCAGCAATAACACTGCTTGGATGATAGACGCAGGAAAAAGGAGCATACTGTAGGTGTCAGGCACGTTACTTCACTCCAAGTACAAGCCCGGGTAAGAGGGAGCTGTGGCTCCCTGCAGGCAGCCCCACCAGCCTTGCCTCCCCTGCAGAGCTGCTCAGAGAGTCCCAACTGAGAGACAAAGCTGAACAACACAATTTGTTTAATCAGCAGGATTTCACAGAATGCACTTGGGTTTTGTTAGATTTTTGTTTTCCACACTGGAACAAAAGCAGAAAGTATTTACACTTCCCTTTTGTAGTCAGGTATTTCTGACTGACTTTATACTTCTAGTAGTTAACCTGCTTATATGCCAGGTCTTCATAAGGGATAATGTCTGAAAGAATTAATCTCTGACTCTTCATGAATTCTGAGCAGGGCTCAGAATTCATCAGCTGCAATACCTGATGCTCCAAGTATTTTTTTGAACTTGTTTAAGAAAGTCTATGGGATTGGTTTTTTTTAACACACATCTATAAAGGTGAAACCAACAAAATTTTAAGTTGTTGCAACACACTTTATTTTGTCAGGCAAATAGTATTTTAGATATTCAATTAAATAGCACTATGTTAAACTACATTTTGTTCTTTCTTACACACTATATAATGCATATTCACTGTAATGACAGTTTCATCATGCTAGGAACTTATACACATACCTACACTTTTTAAAAACAAGATTTTCTTAATAAAACACGCATATCTACAGTAACAACAACTGCAAAGAACACATTGTTAGGTCAAGATTTCAGCAAACTTTACAAACTACACAAAATAAAAATAGCCAAAAAAATATCAGTACACAGTGAAGTTCTTAGCAGAGAACATATCTTTACATGTGGTGAAGCTTTGCCTAGAAGTCATTTTGCTTTTGTATTTCTTAAGGAATAAAATTATATACATTATTTAGTAATCCTCAAAATAGGAAGTATTAAATAGCACAAACAATATTACAGTCTTAAGTTTTGGTGTTACCTACAGTAGAGGGGCTGCTTTAAAGAAATAAAAATTGCAGTTTGTCTTTTCTGTACACTGAGGGCCAAACCCTCAGCTGGTATAAACCACAGTAGCTAAACGGGCAGTGAGGAAGTCACATTAGTTTATACCGGCTGAGCATCTGGCTCCTGACTACTCTATACACAAGGGAAGGCTGCTAAAGCATGGAAGCTTGGACCAGTTACGCACTGACAGAAGCTTATTATATATATGCTGAAGTTTTCATGCAGCAGGAAAAATGTTAGTTTAAGTATAATCCCTTAAACAGTCATACCATAATAATGGTATATGAAGCAGCTTTAAAAATATTATTTTATAATCATATGAAACTCTGAGCTATGCTGATTGGTTTAACGGAATCCCTTATTGCCAATGTTCTACTAGAAAACAGTGTAACTGTAACTTCTGAGGCCTAATGGGGGGCTATTAAAATATCACTGTAGCTAACCACTTAAAGGGTAAATTGTACCCTTAAATACCTATTAATCACCATATTCCATCTGGAAACAATTATGATCCTCGCAATAGACATCAATATCACACTAACTCCGCGGTGAATCTGCTGGGGATATAGGAAGAGCATGGCAGCATACAGAGTATATGCACTGATGTCATCCCAGGAGGTAGTTCTATTTTATGGCACTCTATTTTTGGTTTGTTACTTACACACTTCAGAAGTCAGCCATCCTGAAAATAATAAGAGTAGTTTGCTGCACTGAAAGTCAGCTTTGGGGAGGGAAGGAAATAAATAAAAACCTTATTTTTCCTTAACCATCTCATTTTCCTTTTTTTTTTTAACTCCAAAATCTGCTTTGCCAGCTCTTGGGGCCAGATCCAAGCTCACCAAGCTCTCTAGTCAAAGAGAAAGTGTCCTGATGGTTTCCACAAAAAGGACTTTAAATACCAGTGGCTACATGTTGCAGAAATATGTATTTAGGCCTTGATTAAGGAAAGCACTTAACTAGATGACAATATATGAGCAAGCTGGCATTCACTGCCACCCCCTTTGAAGCAAGCAGTAAGCACACAATTTAAAAGAGCTCCCACCATTATCAAAGAGAGTGTTTAAGTGGTTTGATCAATCAGGGCCAATGCCCCAGCTGTTCTGCATCACGTGGTGATAAAGTAACAGATATCAGGTAAATACCAGAGTTACCTCAATTGCACTAGATCTTAATTCCTACTGGCATAAACCCAGAGGTGTTCTACATGCTGTAGAGTTACTCCCAGAGTATTCTAATAGAAGCAGAATCAAAATAATGCCCGAAGAGTTTCAACAAAGACCCATTAAACTGTTTTAAACTATGTTTTAAAATACAGTATCCATCTGCTACTGGCTGGAACTATCAACTTTTAAAAAATACTTTTTTCTTATCTTCTCTGGATTCAGAAATTATTTTCACTCTTTTTTTAAACAGAAATATAATTTTTTTTTTTTGAGCTTAACATAGCTCAGTTTTGAGCTGAGCATTAGTTTATATTTTTTGTATACTATCATAAAAGATCATGGAAGAAACCATAATTTCTCTAAGGTACTCATACTTTTAATCCCTGTTATCTGTCTCCTTTACACAGACTCAATGGCTTCTGGAACACTCTTATATAGTGAATGAGGAGGATTTGTCCCTATTTTCTGGCATCGGTGTTGCTTGAAAAAAGAGAGTGATAGCTTTTCCCAGCATGGCTTGATGCAACATCTACCCAATTTTCCATTAAACATACTTATTAGACCTGACAGCTGCTTCTTAAACAAAAATATTTCTGCATAAATTTTGACCCAAATCCATTCTTTATTTTTGTTTTTACCTCATTCTTTTTTTTTTTAACTTTTCTTTTCCTGATCTCATTTTCAGCAGAAAACTAAAAATAAAAGGAAATTGTGAAAATAACATTGGAAAGACAAAGGGTACAAAGACTGTAAAATGGAAACGGTTTAATTTCAAAATTCTAGTTCAAATATTTGCAACTTTGAGAAAACAGTAGAAAAAATAATGTTTTAAAACTTTCAAAGATGCTCATGACTTGTTTCCACATTGCAGACCAGCTCCAATTTAATCATGGAACAGATTAAAGATAACCTGTATTATTCATTTCCAAGTAAACACCATACAGTAAACCCACATTCTCCCCTTCTTTGAAAAAAAAAAAATAAATGGAGTGTAATTCTTTGAAAATAGCTAAAATACCTAAGTCACTTAGGTGTTCTTCAAAACCGTGTGTATAATGAACATTCTCATGTTAGCTTAGTGCCACTTATAAAGCTATGTAGTGTTATAGGATGCCCCATTGTAATAAAAATCAATATGAGCAGAGATATTTTAAGTTACATTCCAGAACTCATTATTAATTTATTACAACTCATTCTATGCACAATAATCAGTGTTTCCTCTGATAAAGTATAATTTTGGTTTTTCTCCTACTCATTCCTTCATTTGACCTCTGAATGAATGAAACATTTCTACTATACTTTCCTTGCTTCCTATCAGCATTCATTCACATGATTTGAACGATGAGTGAAAGCTGTAAACCCAATATTAAATAGTAAACAAGAAGAAACTCATGCTCTTAAATGCAGTGCAAGGAAATCTTAGTACCATCCTGCTTTGAGCATGCATCTTAACCCAGATTCTTTCATGAGCAGTCTGGTTGGTACAGTTCCAGAGTTGCAAGATAATGCATTGATTTTGTAAAACCTTCTATTCAGCTGTAATTAAATACTGAGATGTTAATGGTGAATCTGGTTTGAGATGAATACCCAGTTCTGAATCTAGGACAGAGCCTAACCTAGTCAGTAAGCATCTAGGAAAGAAAATGCTCTGAATTATTTTCTTTAGTTAAGTTACACTGCATTTTTTTGGGAGACGGATCTTTTCCAAGACTAGCTGAATTTTCATCTAATTTTTTTATCAGATTTGCTCTAATTTGTTCTCAATAGACAAATATAAGCCCCCTACAGTGAGGACAAAGATATCTGTTACTACAAAATAAAATTAAGATCCAGGTAACTGATTCCTTCTATTTCTACTTTTCCTGCTATTGATAAGGGCCTTTAGTTTGCTGTAGTCCCCTCTCATCTTCTGGGGTTCTTCCCTCTGCTGACCTTGCTGTCTACTGTCTTTGCAGTACTGGTTAATCATCTGCATTTCTGAGTGGCTGAAAGCTCCCACAAAGTCCTTTGGGTGGAACTGCAGCGCTCGCACTGAGCTGGCCCAGGTCCAAGGGGACCACTTGTCAGTCATGATGGCCACCATCTCTGAATCCAGCACTTTGAAGTTGATCTTTGCTAAGGTCTGCTTGAAGCTGTTCTCTGTTGCGATGCAGTGGTAAAGCCCCCGGTCGCTGTCTTGGACAGAGCGAATGAGGAGTCCTTGCTCAGTAGCTATGATCCTCTCATTCAGCTTGACCTAAATGGCAAAAAGGCAGAAGGAACCTTTTAGAAAGTGTTACGGAACAACACAGTATTGGACCTCTTCATAAGTCTCTCTTCAAACACCTCTTTCTTCTTTTAAGGGTTTCTTAAAGATACTATATTTTCCTTTTATCACATCTCCCAGAGACCACTGTTATTGCTACTGTTAGGAAACTACCTCAAGGTAGGCAAGAGTCACTGAAGAATGACTTCAATACTTTATTCATTATGTTACAAAAGGTTTGATCAGGGTGAAGACAAAGATGCAAACCTGGAGACTACATGAAAGAAGAGTTTTCATAATGTTCAAACAGCAGAGCTGCGTTAAGTTACATCCCTGAGAACGTCTCTTCCAGCATCAGAGACTGCTGTTGAGACTTGATGGGGGAAAAATGCAGAACTGGGTTCATCTGACATTGAACACAAGGTGGCTGCTAGTTAAATACTTCAACTTCGAGCAGATTCCTGTGGCTAACTTGTGAAGAAATCTGTCTGCACTGCAGCATCTATAGCCTGGCGTAAAAGTTTTTATCTCAGCGGCCTCAGATGGGACTTGTAAACCAAGAGCAATTTTTCTACTCTCCTATTTCCTTTCTGGCTTCAGACTCTGGACAGTCCCAGGACATGGTCACATCATCTGAAGGAAGCAAGATACCACAGCTTCTTGAGTTATCACTGACTATGAATGACTGTGCACATGTCCCTTTGCATATCAGCTGTGAAATAAAAATTGCTAATTTAACCCATTCTGACAGAATACCAGTGCTGGTATTTTTATGAATGATTTTTCTATTTTGCCACTGCACTTTGCATTATACCTGATTCTCTTGGGAATTCATTTATTTATTATGCTATTCTGTTATTGTAAACTTTTGTAGACATTGCAGAGGTAGGATTTCTAGAAATCTGAGAGCTTGAAATGTAATTAACCCACTGATTGCTTTAGTTTGTCTTTTGTTGTTTAAAATTGCATTGATTCAAATACAGTTACTGAACATATGAACAAGAAGGAAGATGTTCTGCTGAAGAAAAGAGTTAAAGAATTGCACCTGAATTGCCAGGACATGTCTTGAGTCTTTGAAGAGTGAGTGAGAAAAACAGCATGAAAGAGTTGTAAGTCCTCTCTGATTTTGGAAAGTGGCCTGATATGAGAATATTGCTTTCCAGTATTTATAATTTATCAACAGACACTGTATTACTTAATAGTTCTTTTTGAAAGATGCTCTTTTTTATTCATATATTAACTGCCTTGGATTTGAAATGGATTTTTCCCCTTTTATATTACTTAAGGAAGGCACATGCCCCATAAACAATCATACTGTGTATTACAGTGCTGAAACTTGAGAGCCTTAGAGAGTGCAGTAATGGAAAATGTGATTGCACCATGGTGGGGAAATGCTTTTGTCAATACATGTTCTTAGCCTGGACTAGTTTCTTGCTAAAGAAACCCTGCACATTTCTCCCACTTTTGGCTTTTCTCTCTTCAATAGCACAGAAGGGCTACTGCATGCTGACTTCTTCCTGAACTTCATACAGGTTCATGCCTATATACAGCCTTATATATAACAGCTATATATATAAATTTTTACAGATTTTATGCCTATTTCCTTGGATCAATAAGAAGTCCTAAGTGCTTCAAACCTTCAGTTTGCAATTAATAAGGTGTGAAGGAAAAATTCATTAATTGGTTGCCTGACTTTAAGGGCTGACAGGAATTTTGTAATAGCTGTTCTGGTCTGATTGAAATCATTGTGGCTGAGGAGTGAAGTCCCAGCTGTACTGAAAAGCCTGCCCTTGTTTAGATGAGGGAATGCAATTGTTCCCTCACTTTGGTCCAGGGAGTGGATAAGATGCTGACTCATGATGAACTACCGCTCATTTTACTCACCTCTTTCCTCCTGTCATTGTCTTTCTGTAGCAGCCATTTAATAGATGCCTGAGGAGATTTGGGTGTGCATTCGAGAAAGGTGGTGTTGTTTTTCACTCCATACTGAACTATTTCTGCAGCGTTTCTGTATGCTAGAAGGAAAATGAAAACAGGTCAGGCTACTGTGAATGGTGATTTGATACAGAAAGCAACTAACTCTTTGCAACAGACATAAAATGTTTGCAGCACAGGTAAAATGAAGTATGTCTGATCCTGATATAGGCCAATAATGTGATTTAGGGCACAAAATTTTCAATGAAATGAAATGTGAAGAAGCACAACCAGCACCAAATAGCAGTGTTTTCAACCTGACATGGTCTGCTCTGAAAAACAGGGTACCTGTGGGCTGGTGAGCTCTGCTGATGGGATAACTGAGCTCAGGGGTATTTTTCCCTGAAACGATCTCATTCTCTACTACTACAAGAATGCCTGTCTAGAACTATCCAAAGGAGAATGAAGCTTTTAATACATTTCTTCACACTTCACCATTTACGAGCTGGGGGAATATGGTTGTATGACTCGAAATGCAGCAGCATGCCCTAAAGAAGGCTCCGTGGATTTCAGCTGCGTGCAGTATCACAGGGAGGCGAGAGAGGGCGGATTTGGCTTCCCACTCTGCTGCTCTTACAAAGCAAGGAAGGGACTTGGCTCTAAATCTGAAGTGCAGTGAGTACGTAGGCAAGCCAGCAACAGAGCACAGGACAGATTTATAGCACTCCAGTAACACCTGGGCAAGTGCTGAGCATATGTCATCGCTTGGACTTGTTGTGCCCCTTTACAGTCTCAATAGATGAACAATTGGCAGTTACCGGTAGGAACTTTTAGGTGCTCATTGCTTGGTATAAATCATAATGTTAGTCCTGAAAACCATACACTTCCAGATTTAAAAGCTGACATCATATATACAACATGTTTTGCGAAAGGAGCAATGGACACCAAATATGATGAGAAATGCAAATACCAAGAGGTCTGCATGTCTAAAAGCTGACTGGTTTTGCACAGTCCTTAGCCTGATTTTCCTTGGACTCTATCTTCCATTCTTTTCAGCTTCTTTCATCAGCTGATAGGTGAAACTGGAATCTATCCTACTAAAGGAAGGAGACATTGCTTGGTTCCAGTCCTTCAAGGTTTTTAGCACATTTATGAGATTGTACCAAAAGCAGTTGTAACTTTTAGGAGAATAATGTGGAAATATTTGTATTTAAAGACTGTAAGCTAGCAAAGAGCTTATCTGTGGGCTGACCTGTCTGTAGCTGTGCAACACTGAGAATCAGAGCTGTAACACAGTGCTATTTTTATGTACACTGGAACTAGGTATACCACAGAAAGGCACTTTTACCTGTTTAATTGATCAGTATGAAACTTCTTACCTACTCCATACTACTACCACTTATACATGCTAAAAAGAAGGTTGAGAGAATACAAATGTATTTCTCTAATGGCCATAAGGGCTAACACAGTATTAACCAGAACATTTAAAAAGCAGTCTTACAAGCCTTTTAGTTCTTGACATCTATTTAAAAATTGCAATATGCCAAAAATGCTGCATTTATACACGCTGAGAGCTCTAAGACATGCAACCTATACCTTTTAAAGTCTCCATTTCAAGATTTTGGTTCCCCATGAACTTGGAAGATTTCTTACTATTGCCTGACTCTCTATTCTTTTGTCCTTTAGATACGTATCATTTTTTCCCCAAATATAGAAGTTTTGCTGTAAATGGTTTTAATTTTACTTCCAAAGAGTCTAAGTTGCTGTTTCTTTCAATCTTTTTTTTTCCACTGGGGAAACAAGTGCCATCTACCTATGCTATATGCCAATGCTGTCATAAAAACATCCTTTACGAAGTTGCTAGAACACATGAACCTATAAACACATCCACAGTAAAAAACCAAAATATAAACGTTGGAAAACAAGAAACCTGTTTCTCAAGACTATCAAGGTCTAAACATTTGTCTCCCCTCAGCCCAGAAAGCAGACAGTTGACATTCTCACATTTTCCACATCGAAAGAGGAGACACACACCCTTGGGAGAGACAATGGGTGGGTGGTCACAGCACATGCCTGCAAGGCGGGACATGCAGCTCAAGTTACTTCGTGATTCTGAGCCCAAGCTTTAACATGCATCTCAGAGCTCAGGTGCATACTCTAATGGTGGGGTCATCGTTTGTAATTACCTGTTCAACCATTCAGCTTCATATAAATGACCTAATACTGAGTCATGGGGAAAGACCCTCTGGCACTGTAGAGTGGCAGCTAGAGCACAATTAGCCACATTTGGGCTGAGTGACCTACACCCAGCTGACTGTGGTGGTCTGTTTTGATTTAGGAGATTCTTCTGAGACCATTTCAGTGGAATTATTATTAACTCAATCTTTCACATGTAATTCTTACATCATTGTTTCAGAAAATTCAATGAAAAATTTACCATCAGGTCTATTTTTTGGTCTCCAGATGGTACAGATGAGAATACACTTCGAAACACACACTCAGAGGTGAAAGGAGCAGAATTCTCTAATGTGTGCCCTTGATTTCATGGCATACATTGCCACTGTCTAGCTCACACATCCATGTGGCTGATGAGGATTAACATGCCTTTATATATGTGTCTATTATTAGTATGACTTTGGCCATATTTGACTGGGTTCCATCAATCTGGAGAAAGTGGTAGCTGGGAGGGCAGTGTTGGCTCCCTTGTCCACTCATTCAGTGCCAAGCTGCCTAAAGAGTTGCACAGCTCAAAGGAAGAGACTTCATAAAGGGATTTGGAATGGTTTATTTTCGCACATAAAGGGGAAAAGGAATAATCATAATTCAAAAGACAGGCCTAGAACCTGCTGTTTTCTGAAAGATATACTGCAAAACTCAGTATTGTGTCAAATACTCAGAATAATTCTGAGGTCCAAGAATTAAATGCATGAAGAGGCATTAATAAACACTGAAAATATTTAGAAGCAGAAAAGCCCTCAAATCAACTGGACCTTTTTCTAGTAAACACTGTCTGTCAGCTTCTCATTTCATGTGTGCTGAACTATATATTTCATGGTTCATCACACTATCATATATAGGCAAGTTTCATGTAATTGCCAGGAAAAATGTTAAAATCAAAACAAAACTTAGACTTGGAAAATAATTATACTTTACCAGTAAACCACACAGATAATGTGAGTTATGATGAATCACACAGAGGAAAGCCACGTGTTCTTTATATAGCATGAGGATCTCCAAATTATAGTACCTTTCAGGTTGAAACCTCGGCACTGAGTCAGAGGGTTTCCATGTCTCACGTCTTGCCTACGACTCCTCCTGAAATATATTGTAAAAACAAAGTGTTATGCCAAGATAGTCACAGTGCAAACAAACACTCTTTTAGTTCTGGGTTTGTCTTTTTTTTTTCCTGCTATCGACTGTTAGGGATAGTTCATGACCTACTGGTGGTGTGTTTTAGTCTTGGCAGGCTTGCTAGAGTGAGGCTATTGTTAAAGTGAATAATCAGTTTGATGAAGCTTATAAAATGGTTGTAATTTCAGTAGGTAAAGTAGTTTTGTAAAGGAGATATAGAGAAAAGGTTAGAGGTGATGCATGAAATACACATTGGTTTGCTGTTACAAGACCTAACGTTCAAAGCCAGAACCCCCAGCTGGTTCTTAGGTGCAAACAAGCACCTAAGAATGCGATGCGTGAGTCACAGTGCGTGAAAATCTGGTACCTGAATTTTTTATTCCTGAGTTATATTATTTTGTTTGTTGAATATTCTGTAAGTTGGTTCAATATTTATCAAGTGCAATGAAAAATGTATTGGTGATTGTTGGAAATGGAGGCATCTGGGAAATATAACAGCTGTATTCTGAACTATGCACTAGTGACTCGCAAGGTACATAAAAAGCCCCTGGAGCTCAAGTACCACTGAGTGAAGGGTGATGCCCCTGCAGCCATGTTATACCAGCTACTGGCACAAACACTCAGAGACAGTGTTTATAACCCTATGACATCTGATCCTTCACTGCATTGTTTTAAAAGGAAACCTCTGAAAGGTGATGTTTCAAAGGAGTAATTTCTGACATTCCAAGTATATTTTCAATGTTTACCATCGAAAATATTTCATCTTATGCCTTGGGATGTTAACCCTTGTGAACTATTCACGCGAGTCAAAGGAGACAGTGAATTTCAGGATTCCTGTGCTACTGTGAACTGCTCCACACTCAGAAATGGCACACTGCTTGCATTAAGCAGTTTTGAAAATGGAAACTTACAGTTAGATATTTATAAAACAAAAAGTTTGAGAAGGTGGTGGTTAGAAAATAAATACTGTCAGGTGTTTTGAGGTAAATCTGCGTTGGATGAGGAACCATGAGTAATCCATGGGAGGCAGAAGTGTCAAAAGAAACAAAGAAACAAATATGTCCAGCAGATACTACTGTCTAGACTATGGGATTTGGCTCCTATTACTAATGTTTTCTCCTTCATAATCGCTCTTGTTAGATAAAGGGACAACTCATTTCCTTCACATATGAAAAACAGATTTTTTTTTTCCCCATGCAGTTTTAGGTATTTGTTTTGGTTTGATATAAAAAGCAAATTGCAAACAAAATGTCAGCAAGAAAGCAAGCCCCAGTGCAAATAAGCTCAGGTGTATATAATAGTGATGGCAAAAACCCCTTGGAAACTGCACAGATGGGGTACACCTGACTGCTCATTATATCTTTCAGCAGCTATGTTAGTGTAGGAGTTAGGTGGCCTGAGACTTGGGGAATTTTCTTTTCTTCCCCTGTCTTCTGACCTTTGTGGAAGAAAATGATCAGTTTGCAGACTGGAGGCTGAATACGCTATGTGAAAGCAGTATAAAACCCAGGTACTTTACCAATTGCTACACGGCCAGGTTGGGCTTTACCTTTGAATCTCAAATAAGGAATGAGTCAAGAAAACTTTGCAGTAATGCAGTAACTGTCTTTAATCCCAGGGAAATACACTGACATCAGCTGGTTGGGTCACTGGAATAGAGTTAAGCTTTGCCTGTTTTTGTCTACTGTCTCCCTCCATGTAGGTAAAGGAGTAAAACCCATTAACTGTACGAGGTGTTCTGCATCTGCAGCTCAAATGCAGGCAGTGAGCACAGTGGCACATAGAGGGTAAAGCTCTAGCACAAATCTGAAAGGTTTGTCTCCTCTGCAGTAATACCTCATTGTGTATTCTGTAGCTTTGTTTGTATATGAAGTAAAATCTTAGTAATACAAGAGTTCACCACGGCCTCCTGCTATTAAATATTTCCCTTGGGAGGCGGAAAGAGGCTCCTGTTTTGCATAAGAATTATGAGATGGACTATTAGCTCTGCTGTAAATTAAAGAGAAATTGCTTTCCCTGTCTGCCTTATTAAATCTCATGTCAAAAAACCCAAATCTGCAGGCATTACATGGAAATCACATTTGACTAAAATTTCTCTGGAAATAATTCTTCTCTCTTAGGAGCAAATGAGGAAAAAAATATAAATAAAAATTCCTTTATTCCTCAGACCGCCCAAGAGATATTTTGCTGTATTTAGAGTTATCATAAGTACATCCATAGTGAGCAACTGAATTTAAACAAAGGGAGCAAATGTTTCACTGATTTTGTGTGCATGAGACAGAAGGATTCATATTTATGATATGGAACAGGGTTTTTTGCTTTTTTTCCATATATTACTTCAAGTATGAAAAGACAACCTCTTTATCATACACTACTGCACCATACACTCCTAGGTGATGAACAATGCCAAGCATAATAGCTACAGAGGCATTGTTAGTACATGCTCGTGAATTGAGTGACATCCCATTTCAACATCCATCATTACAACACCCCAGGCTCCACAGCAGAACAAAAACCTTCTTTCCTTGCAGACTTCACTGGGCTGTTTATTACTGCTCACCTTTTTCCTGTGGGATAAAACCTGGAGCAGGAGTTGCCATCCCAGGCACAGTACGGATCTCGGGCTAAGCAGCAGTCAGCACAGGCAGTCCCATAGATGTGGCAGCGATGCAAGGATACCTGGGTGACCCCTTCATCTGAGCTCACGTACAACTGTTGCTGCAGAAGGAAATGGAAAGATTTATTTCAGATGTGGAAAAGCTTCACCTGAGACTCTGCTAACACACCTAAAATCCTTTCAATTAATTTTAGAGTTAACTCAAGACCAAGAGGGCAGCCACTAATATATATAAAGCCAAGATAAATAGAATTCTCCCAGGTGAACAGGCCTATAATATTTCCACCTTCCTGTTAGAAAACATTTAGAAACACTGGGGAATGTTAATGGTTTTTGGACATTGAGTGTCATTGTTCTGTTCTGAGGCAGACAAGCTGAGTTAATACTGCTCAGCTTTGAGAACTTGGTTCTTAGTCAGTAGCATATTGGCTCAAGACTTTGAACTAAGTATTTTCTCTGCATATAGTCACTTTAATAAATATTATGCAGAGTTCCTAGTTGGATTTTCCAGTGCATAGATTTCCAAGACATAAAACCTAGAGATTATGTTGGGGCTTATGGCCAGATTCTGATAACCATAATACCTGGAAAAATAAGACAAAAGAACTTTCATAATAAATGAGAGCTTTAGCAAAAGAACTTCGAAATGCATAGGTTATCACGAAAATCTGGACCAAAATGACTGTTTTAGTCAGAAACAATTATTCAATTATTCTTAAAATATAAATTAATATTGAACAAAAACCTTGAAAGTCCTCTGATATTTTTGTATAAATCTACACGATTACAGTGAATTTAATTTAGTGAATAATGTTTACTTATTACCCGTTTTGTAAAATACTGAGCAATGTGTTGCTTGCAAAATCATAGGATACATATTCTTAGTTTGGATGTTTAACATTTGAGCATAAATCCTCTCAGCTGTTTGCATCATTCTTATTGCTATTGTTTGTTATTAATAAACCAAAACACACAATTGCATGAAGGACCTAACAGCCCCCAAACTGCCTTTCTACATGGATCAGACTTCCAAGGGAAAATTTCTATTTAGGACTTATAGAAAAAATGGGGAGGGCAAATTTTTTTCTTTCAGTACACTTTTTTTCTTTAATTGTCAAACAAAAAAAGCAAAAAACACTTTCAGTGAGTTAGAAATTATACATAATGAATAGAAATTGTTTTATCTTGGTGGCTCTGGGGCATATAAATAGCTCATGCAACCTTCAGTCAAGTTTCTCCATATTCATCATGGAAAATCTCCTGCCTATATTTATTATGCTGCACAACAATTGGTATTCTAATATATTTAAGTCAATTTGCTTCTCAGTTAGTAAGCACTAAGTTAGCATTCTACTTTACCTTTTTAGATGAAATCTTCATTGTTGTTATGGGAGAATTACTCTGAAAGACAAAATTACAAATTACATTTATAAGGACTCTCTTGTCAATACTGTCCCAAAATTACAATTTAAAATTCAGTAAAACCTAAGTCACATCTAAGAAACTAAAACTTTTCATACCTTGGAAAGGTATCAATCCCTCCTACTAATTTCTTGGTATTTTCAGAACTAAACAAACGATATATATATAATTAATGTCTCACACAATGTATTGGCTAAACTCAACTGCATCATTATGACTCCTGTGCATCAACAAGGTTTTGTATACTTCAAATTAACCTGTACCTGTTACCTCAGCAAGACAGGATCAATGTGTTTTGAAGCCATTACTCTCTCTTTTATTACTTTGTAATTAAAAAAAATGTTCTTTGATGAGGATAAGAAAAAAACATGAAATAGCTCATGCATATTTACCACACGATCCAGATAAGAATATGTCATACTTCCCCTACACAGTATGTACAGTGCATACAATTTGGTTACCATCCAACATACACATTCACATTATCAATGACTGGAATATTAAAAATGGCATGTGTGTTATTGAATGTTTCTTTCCCAGAGACAGTACTGTATACTACTGTGTGTCATCACAGCAATTTATTAATGCCTGTGTCCAAACCAAACGTTAAAGAGCTGGAAAAGGAATTATCACGTTTGTTGCCTTAAGCAAGTGAAGCAATTTAATATCCAAACAAATGATAAAACTGATGGTAATAAAAATGTACATCACTTTTTTTAAGATTTAGCATTAGCTCAGTCACAGAGGAAAGCCATAACCGTGGGCTAGAATTAATTGCAGAGGATTACAAGCACAGCAGAGAGGCCAGGACTAGAAAATCTGGATGCAAATCATGTGAACTGCAAAGTTTTGAAGGAGTTCTGATCAGTGGCACAGAGTCTAGTTGTAGATTTTTAACTAGTGGTGTCCCCCAAGGGTTAATACTGGGTCCAGTATTGTTTAGCTTATTCATCAATGACTTGGATGAAGGGACAGGGTGCCTCCTCAGCAAGTCTGCTGATTATCCAGAACTGGGAGGAGTGGCTGGTACCCCAGAGTGCTGTGCTGTCATTCAGAAGGATTTAGACAAGGTGCAGAGATGGGCAGAGAGGAACCCAATGAAACTGAACAAAGGCAAGTGCAGGGACCTGACTATGGGGAGGTATAACCCCATGCACCAGGACAGGCTGGGGGATGACCTGCTGGAAAGCAGCTCTGCTGAGAAGGACGTGGGGGTCCTGGTGGACAACAAGTTGTCTATGAGCCAGCAGTGTGTCCCTGTGGCCAAGAAGGTCAAGGGTATCCTGTGGTGCATTAGGAAAAGCATTGCCAGCAGGTCAAGGGAGGTGATCCTCCCTCTCTGCTCAGCCCTGGTGAGGACTTCCCTGGAGAACTGTGTTGAGTTCTGGGCTCCCCAGGACAAGAGAGACATGGAGCTCTTGGAGCAAGTCCAGTGAAGGGCTAGGAGAATGATTTAGGGTCTGGAGCAACTCTCATATGAAGAAAGGCTGAGGGAGCTGTGTCTGTTCAGTCTAGGGAAAAGAAGGCTCTGGGGGGATCTCATCAGTGTGAAACTGAAAGGAAGGTGTCAAGAGAGTGGGTGCAAACTCTTCTCAGTGGTGCCAGGATATCGGACAAGAGGCAATGGCCATAAACTAAAACACAGGAAGTTCCACCTGAACATGAGAAAGAACTTCTTTACCATGAGGGTGACTGAGCACTGGAATAGGTTGCCCTGAGATGTTGTGGATTCTCCTTTCCTGGAGATATTCAAGAGTTGCCTGAACACAATCTTAAGCAATGTGCTCTAGCTGATGCTGCTTGAGCAGGGAGGTTAGACTAGATGACCTCCGGTGGTCCCTTTCAACCTCAACCATTCTGTGATTCTGTGATTCTGAGTTTAGAGCTGCTGTAGTATTTCATGAACTGTCTAGAGACTCAAGATCAAACACAACATTAGGTCTGATGTCACATTTTCCTTTTCTTGCTTGTACTCTGGAAAGGAATTAGTGCTTTGGTTACTTTGGACATTTACTAGCACACAGCCAGTGATCTCATTCCCGCTTTCTTGGAGAGACTCAGCAAAATACTGACATGCTGCCTGCAAAGACTGCAATGGCAGAGGTTATGATATCAGGCTAAAAATTCAGTGCACAAAGGCCCAGAAACTAGGTTTAGTGTGAGGATTCCTCTCAGCCCATCTCTTCCTGCTGTATTAATTTATGTTTCAGTAAATGGAAGTAATATTTGGTTGAAGGGTCCTCTTTAGGTAATATTACTCACATATATCTTTTTCATTGGGAAGTCTTCAACAAAAGCCCAGGAAGACTAATTATGCCACCATGAGGGTTAACACAGAGTATATTCATTTTCTTAAAGAAATTGTTAATGCTGCCTGTCTAGATAAAAAAGCTTAAATTTTCCTTTTTGTATCCCTTCAATGAAATAGAGAAAAGCTCGTGACAAAACCCTTAACGAAGTTTATAGCTGCATACTATCATTTGACCCAAGACTACATGTTAAAAAGAATAGCCCATTCAAAATTCTGAAAGGGTTTTTTCAATGTGAGGTAGAACATTTTCTTTATATTATTACAAGCTGCCACATGTCAGGGTGATTGACAGAGGCTATTCCCTTATTTCTCCTTGTAGTTGTTTGTGTTCCTTTTCAACTTATGTTGTGTTAAGCTTGTAGCTTTCTTGACTCCAGAGGCATGTGGCTTTGAAGAACTGGAGTTAAGCAAAAACAACACTGGTTTGCTTCCATTCTGCAGCTCAGAATCAGGAAGATTATCAGATAATCAAAGAAGTACAAAAATCTTAGATTCCATCTGTAATTAATGACAGTCTCCATACTGATGCCAATGATAAAAGTTGCCTTCTGGCAGCCACTATAACATGACCTCGTAAAACTGTGATTATCAAAATCCTTCTAGCCAGTATAATATAAAAAATATGCAGCTTAAATGGGGGGTGGGGGAAGGACTTAAGCTAGCTATAGCCTTCATAACAGCGGGCATTTTATATTCCTCTTTGGGTGGGTATCAAGCTGACAGTATGCACATTTACTTGATCTTTTATCAAGTCACAGTTGTCCTTGCCAAAAAATGTTAGAACAAAGTGTTTGTGTGAACATACACATTGGAAGAGTAAAAATAGGAGCAAGCCAAACCTGAAAAACCTCCAGTTCTTCTAATATGAGTTCTCCACTTGCAGAGAAGTTGGTGGGAAGGACAACAACTTTTTGTACAGTTCCTTGATCTAGAAAAGATGAGAAAAAGTGAGACCGTGTGACAGAAACAAAAAAGCAGATTAACCATTATCAATTATGCAAAGTAAGCATTAAAGTGAGCACTGTGACACAGAGAAAGGTAAGAAATGTTCATGAATTTTTACGGTTAGGGGTCAGAAAAAAACATGATTCCTTATATAGGAATACTATATATATGATATTATTCTCATATATGAACATGAGAAAGTTATGGTAAGAGTGGACTAACTAGCATTACTGTTAACATTCTACCCAAAGAGCTCAATCAAAATCAGTATCTTGTAGTACTAGTTGCTGTACAGAGACACAGACAGAGGCAGTATCTATCCTAACGATCTTAGTGAAAGCCACAGCAATATAAACAGGGAGAAGGGAGCTACTGCAGAATTTAATACGTATTCATATTCAGTAATCAAAACGTAATGACAACTGATGACATGAAAGGCAAACCTTCCAGAGAATAATTTTATCTATACCTAAACAAAATAAGATGAAAGATGAAAGCTTTCTTTTTTTCAGGATTAATACAGACATTAATCAAGTCTGTTACGTGTTGGTAGGAGTTAATATTTTGGTCCATAGAGAAAAAAGGAAAAGCCAGCTGAAGATATTGTAGCTACTTTATCATGGCTGCCCTCTCAAAATACAGTTCGAACCCTCCCAAATCCACTCAGATGAAAGTAGTAAGAAGGATGGGGCAATGGCAGTGTTTTTGCAAGGCAGATGTGATGAGTAAGACCAAAGGGATATTTGTGATTAGTTTTCCAAATTTGTTATGTGGAAAGAATATATGAGATGGAGGGGTCCATCTGTGAAGGCTCTTAAAAGCTAAGACAACCACTGATGTATTTCTGATGTTGCAAAAAAGGCAGACTGTGGGAGAATCACACGGACAAGCATTTTTCCTTGGAAAAAGCACAGCACATAGAAGTCCTCTTGCCTGAAAGGCCTGGAAATTAGTCTGAGTAGAACGAATTTATTTGCTCAATATTGATTCTGAGGAATAAGACCACATGGTATAGATTCAGGTCAGCCTTCAAAAGTTTTATGAGCAATATAGACTTGTGCAGTTAGTAAAACATTAATATAGCACAATATAGGTAAGTATCTACATGTATTTTTATGAATTTGTGACTGGGGAAGGAAATAGCAGCTTCCTTTTTGGCAATTCATGATGTAGACAACATAAACTAAGAATGGCAATTTTGCTTTTGCTTTAAGGTCAGTGACTAAATTCCATAGCTGGAGCTGCAGGGTGAGTTGGTTACAGTAAATAATTTACATCTTCTTATTTCCCTGGAGGAAGCCACCAAATAATAATATCTTCTATTTTTTAAAAATAAGGTTCAAAGCCAGAATATTGATAAATAATGGCCTGACCACACACAGAGACCACATTGCAGCATTTTGCCTTTAGAAAAAAAATGGAAAAGAGAAATTGAATGCTGACAAGACTTTAAAATATGTAGCTATTAATTGTACATGCTCAGGGCAGGTTAGGCATGAATTTTTCATGAGGATTTTCTATGGAGAACATTTATTCTCATTATACAATGGCATGATAAACTAGTTCCTTCCGAAGAAACTTTACTGAAACTGAATCTTGTGATAGCACAGCTGTGGTCTAGATTGGGTGCCAGCATTAGCAAAGCTATGAGAACCTGAGAGAGATTTACTAACTGACAGGACCCACCGAAGCTTTAAACTGCTGCAGATGCATCTCTTGTTGGAGCTAAGAAGCAGCATGTGTATGTGTGTGTGCATTTCTGTTCCTACTAGAGGGAATAAACCACTCACAAACATACACAGCTGAAGTCTAGTCTACCTCTGCCTCTTTGCATCCTTTCATCAATGTCCTCTCTTAAACATTAAACTGTACCATACAAGATGGTATAGTTGCAGCCCTTTGTGGGTTTTTTTCAGCTGCCTGCAAAGCATCAGCTACCTGTAACCCTGACATACAGGGGCACTAAGCGTATTGACAGTGACCTTACCTGCAAAGGAATGTGAGGCTGCTGAGCCTCTGGAGAACCGGTTTATTTCAATGATCCATTAGCACATGCCACACATTTAAAATTCCTAAGTTGTCTTCAGTTCTCAAGCATGCCCCAAACTGAAATCAGACCCTGAGGGGAGATTTTATCCTGGGCACTGGCACAAAAAATACTGATAATGCCTGACGCCAAGTCTTTCTTGTCCTAATAACCTTTCCTATTTGAAAAGTAGGTTCCTATCTACCTTCTTGTCACACCCCAGCAAAATACACAGAGTTAAGGACTGTTTACCTTGGTATTCGTTCCTTTTGACTTAATATTTCACCATTTGCTTTGAGTCAGTATTGTACCATGAGGGACAGATCCTTTCAGAAAGGAATGTTCCATTATTTTAAATGAAACTTAATACAACACTTAAAATAAATATTCACGTTAGGTAAATTAGGTAATGGAAAGCAATTCATTAAATAAAATCACTTAAAGCAGGGGATTCCAATCAGCTGTGTATACACATAAGCATACTTCAAACAGTACATGGTGTATAGGTTATAGACCTCCTTCTAAAAACAGTTTTTCTACTGTTGCTCAGCCTTTTCCTTAATAAATGGAAGGCAAATATTATGCCTGAAAATCACTTCTTACTCCTTTCTCAGTAGCATTGATGTCTGCACTATAAGCTCAGTAGTTGACAAATCAAGTCACTTACACATGTTCATGTTAGAAGGCTTATGGTACATCTGAGTTGTGTTGAAAATCTTATCTGATCATTTCCTTTAATTTCACGGCAGCAAACTGAATTTCCTGGGTGACAAGGAAGGTTGGAAAGAATGCAGGAGATACATGCAAAGGAGCAGTGCCTGAGCTGTTTCCCCATGTATTTCACAATCTTTTGTACTGTAAGCCAGGCATAAGAGATCACCAAACAAGTTTAAGTCAGATTTTTCACATTTAGGTCAATGTATGAAATTACAAGCTAATTCTGTAAAAATCATAAAAATGAACAGAATGGTCTCCTTGGCCATTTACTTGTTACTTACAGATACCCACTTGAAAACAGTTCAACATTGTTATGATTTCACATACTCATGAAAAAAGCTATTGTGTCTCCAGAATAACCAATCCACCACTAGAAAGCATGAAGTGAAGAAGCAGATTTATGCTCACCACTTCCCTGACTTTTCCCTGGGAGCTGTTTGCAGCCTCACATCAGCTCAGCAGCCTGTGAGTTAAGGGCAGACGGAGAAATGAAAAGGAATCTCTCTCAAGGCAATGGTAAGAGGACAAGAGCTACCCATAATGTTTTGCTGTTTCAAACCTGCTTGAGTGACTGCAGATTTCTCAGCTTGACAAGCAAGAAAATGTTACCGAGATCATGTTCCCTCTGAGAGGACAGAAATGGGGAACAGCAAGGGAGGAAAGTGTTTAACATCCTGTACGCTAAAAAATTGTATAAAGAGTATGCAGAGTAGGAAATGGAGAAGGAAATCAGCCCAATAAATGGTCCAAGGAAGGAAGAAGAGACAAATCATAATAATAATTATTATTAATAATAAGCCTTGAAACTCAAGGCATGATTCTGGGCTGGTATCAATCAGCTAAGCTTCACTGATACCAGCTGGACTATGTCTGATTACAGTAATTCCTGGTCTGGCTGACCATGGGCAGTGGAAAGGGCAAAGCTTAATGAACAACAATGCAAAATACACAGGTGCTTGGCTGAATCTGCAGGTCTGAGTTTAAATCTCATTCTCTGGATTTTGACAAGCTTTTCTTTCCCCAGCCATAACTGAAGTTGTCAGTATTGTGACCCTCAAAGAGTGTCAGGACTCACCTACACTTGAGCCACATCACATGCACAAATCAAACAACAATAACCCCCCCTGAGTTTTCCACATCATAAAAAAATTACTGCAATGGACACCAACTGCCACTCTGACAGGATTTTCACAGGGAGGCTTCCTGATGTGTCTGAGACCCTCTGAAATCTTCCCTCCATGTTGTACCTCTCAGCCTAATGGCAGCTTAATTATTTTTGGTCTCTAATCTGAGTTGAACCTGATGCGAAACAAACAACATTACAAAAGAAAAAAGACAGCAAAGAGTTGGATGAGTTGGTCACTGAAATGTTTTGAATGACTCACGCACTATGACCAAGAGGAAGAACCTAACTCTTTCTGCTGCCTGCTGTGCCAATGTTGTGCAACATCATCTTCCCAAGATCACAGTCATGAAGCTGCATCCAGCAAATCTATGGGAGGCAAGTTTGGTCTTCTGACCAGGTTATCTCTCTCCGTTAGAATCTGTAGCTCATTGCATGATTTTGGCTATTGCATTACCGGAGGCTACCGCTGTCAGCAAGGGTTAGTTTTCCAAAAAGACAGGCATCATAGAACACCATGAAAATGAGTACTACAACCTTATGCTCTGAAGGCACTTATTACAGCCAGACTTTGAAAACAAGTCTTGCATCAGAGAAGAAAATATAATAACAAACATCGATGAACCTCATGCCACATCAGATGCGTGTGGCCAACATTTATCACCTGAATGAGCCACACTCAAGTCTGACGTGCCTTTTCATGACAAAAACTTAGATCTCTTTTCACAGAAACATATCCTATCTTGATAGCAAGGGGCTGAAAAAAATCCTGTTGGTGCCCATGTCTGTTTAATGTACCCATGTTTGACCCAGACATTTAAGTATTTTTATAACACCAAGAGCAATAAAAAAACCCCATGCATAATCTCGGTTGTGCAATCTGTGTGTACTTTGACCGAAGGCTTTCGTACTGCAAGCAGTAGGTGGCATGCTTAAAAAATAAATATTAATGTCAGGAAAATGTTCTCATGCTGGTTTACTGCTGCTTTAAAACTCAGATGGAAAACAATCTACCAAAGCATAAACAGAAAACATTGAAAGCTTGGGTTCTTTATAAATAACTGAAATGAGTAAAGTAATTACAGTACAACTCTAGGGTGAATTAAAAACTTCAGGACTGAGTCCTGGCCTATCATAGAAATGAGATAATCAAAGCAGAATTCTAACCCCAAATTCTTGAACTGAGTGTGTTATTATGCTTTGCATAGTGAAAATGTACCATCAGCATCGTTCTTGTCAAATATGCAAAAGTGAGATTACATTCTACCCATGTAAATTATCCCTCAGGTTTCTGTTTGGCAAGATGAGATATACAGCACTGTTCTCTTGTAGCGCTTCTCTCTACCATTAAAGACTTGCTCGTTACTCTAAATCAGCTCATTTCGGAGGAGTAAAGAGATCCCTTTGGGTGGACTTAACAAAACTAGCAAGTTTTGTTACGTGCTTTGGGAGTATTCATGTTGAAAAACATAGGGAAAACAGGAGATCACTATCATTTATAAGGCAGGTGGAACACTGCAAGAACAATGTCTGTCCCTGGGGTTTATTTTGTTAGCTATGTAGGCAAGGTAGGGAGAAAAGCAATGTATTGACTCTGGGCACGGACCATCTCCTGTGAGCCCAGCACTTTTATCTGAGGGTGCAAAGGCGACACTACATTTTAGTTCACATTAATGTGAAAAAATGACACAGCTGCCAATACTCTCCCATGCCATGGCTACATGATGAAAACCACTGGGGTTCTTGAAGCTTTATTCTTCTGTTATTCTTCACTTGCATTCAGGAACTGATTTATTACTAAGGCTATAGAGGAAGAGAGGAAAAGCTAAACATTTTGTGTGCTCTGCATCTGGCAAGACATAAAACACTCCAATTTCAAGCATGAGACAGGTCACTGACAGTGACAGACATGGCTGGCAACATCTCAGTTCAGCAGCAGTAACTCATCATCTGAGCTGAGTGAAATTGTCACCAGGTGGAAAGTCCCACTGTCTCCGGCTGTGGGGCTCCAGGCTCCCAAGGAAATTATCACATGAAATTCTCCTATACAACGTGTTTTTTGCATTTGCTGGGATGAACTGACACCAAAGCAAATCTCCTCTGCATTCCTTTTGACACTTAATATCTCTATCGAATCCTCCCGAGCAGAGAATAAAGAAAACAAATTTCTCAGTGGCTGAAACTCAACTTGATCACTTTTATTTAAAAGGGCTGAGAAACGCAGTAACTTACATTGCACCAATTTCTGTTGAGGAAGACCTTGAAGCTATTAATGTCTTGTGCCCTGCTCAGGAAGAATGCTGCCTCCACTCCAACTAACTAAAAAGCAAACAATGATCCTCATCTCCAGTGTAATGCAGAAGGTAAAGCAATGAATATAAAGTATCGAGAGCTGCCATTTATGTGTTTGATCCATAATGGATCCCATGCTGATACAGAGAAGAGGATTAACAAGCTGAGTATGTTAATGTTTTTAATGAATCACAGGTATATGTGTGAGGCCACACTGATCACTTACAAACAGTAAGAAGATAATCAAAGTATAAAAATGAAATTATCCATATTTATCACTTGCATAATTACTGAAGGGCTAAATATCAATATTGTGTTTTCAGGCAAATTTCAGATACTCAATACATTTCCAGTATTAACTACTACAGCTACATTAAGCATCCTATATTGGTTGGAAGCTGGTATGTCCTTGTCTTTTCCACCAATCTTTAGTAGAAATTTTCTCCAATTAACATTAGGTGTTCGCAGAGCATTTTACAACAATGGCACCACTATTTGAAAAAATGCATTAAAAGTTCATTTAAAAGACCTGTACTAGTTTACCAACCTATTCGTATGGCTAAACACAGTGATTTGCAGGAATAAAGCTAACAGAAAACCAAACCCACTCTTTTACTAAGTGGTTTTGTGCAGTTGGATAACAGTAGCAGGGACAACAACTAAATTTCTGACATATCTACAATAGTGTACAAACCCTCTTTTCTTCTGTAGGAAAGCAGGAAAATAAACCTAAAGGGCCCCAAAGTCAAGAACTGTAGCTGCATTAATTAAACTAAAAATACAATGTAGTTACATGTTGGGGTGTGTGTGTGTGAAAAACCACCTTGAAAGCCCTGCCCTAATTAATTTGTTAGTTTCCAATAACTCTGTAAGTAGGATCAAAGAATTATTCATGAACATTTTAAAACTCATTTATCAAGTGCCAGCCAAGTAAACAAAAATATCGAGATCAAAACCTGATGAAGTTCCTAATGTGATTCATTACCCAGAGCTTCTTCTACCCTATGCCTTACAGTATACTAGGCATTCACAGTACAGTAGATGGTGACCAGGTAAAGGTTTGCCACAGGAACACCAAATCCTTTCAGGACTCATAAACTCCTTTCAGGTAGTTGTAGACAGTAAAAAGGACTCCCCTGATCCTCCTTTTCTCTAGGCTAAACAACCCCAGTTCCCTCAGCTGCTCTTCATAAGACTTGTTCTCCAGACCCTTCACCAGCTTCGTTGCCCTTCTCTGGACGTGAGGTGTCCAAAAATCGAACACAGCATTCGAGGTACAGCCTCACCAGTGCTAAGTACAGGGGAACGATCATTGCCCTAGACCTGGTGGCCACACTATCTCTGAGGATGGAGAATTCACAACCTTTCTAGGTCCTTGTTCCAACGTTTGACCATGCAGATGGTGAAAACCTTTTCCTGTATATCTACTTGTAAATTGTGTTCAACCCCTCTCACCCTGACACTAAGCACTTTGAGATGAGTCCAGATCTCTTTTTTTTCCCCATTAGCTGGTAGTACCCTCCCATTAGATAGTTGTCAACAGCAGATCTCCCCTTAGCTTTCTCTGTTTAAACCAAGTCTCTCAACCTCCATCAACTAATCTTGTTCAATCAGGTCAAAATTTTCCTTGTACTGGGGAGCCAACAACTGGACATGGTACCCCTGACAGGAGCCAAATACAGGGGAACAATCCTCTCTAGCAACCTGATGGCTGGATACACTTTTGCTAATACAACACAGCATGCAATTGCCCTCCTTTGGCACAAAGGCACCCTGCTGATTTTGGTAGTTTGGAGGTTTTTATGAGTGAAGAGAGTTCCCTTTAATTCTGCCACTATAGAAGCCTGACATTTTTTAGCACCAGTTTCCTAAATCTATTATAACAGGATGGTCATTCCCAGCCCCACGTGAGTTTGCTGGCAGACATGGTTATTCTACAAGCAGAAAACAACAAGGATCCCAATAATATGTGAACCATAAAGTAATGCAAGCCATCTCTGTAATTATTTTCTGATGTTCAGAGATGTATTTGTTCTCCTAGAGCTCTTTTCCTTTGTTCTACTTGAAAGCATCTGTAGTAAAAAAGATTACCCTTTGTGCCTATCAACCTACAATGCCCTGTTAAGCCAGTGGGAGTTTCAGATACGAATGAATCCTAGTGTTTAACCACAGTACCACTCCGCTTGTCTGCTTCAATCAGAAGAGTGTGATTCATATCTAAATATTTTAAGAAATCAAAACTGATCAGTATGGGAATCACTTGACCTGTTCCCTGCAGACTTCAGAAGCATTAGACCAGATTCAAATTTGATGTAACTAAAAACAAAATGTAGGTTACATTAGATTGAAATTATTTTAGAATACTTGGACCAAATTCTGTGTCCACTGCTGCTCAGGCTCCAACCATTTGTTTCTTTTCACAGAATCATCTGGTTTGGGTTGGAAAGGACCTTAAGATCATCTATTTCCAACCCCCCTGCCAAAAGCAGGGACACCACACACTAAATTATGTCACCCAAGGCTCTGTCCAGCCTGGCCTTGAACACTGCCAGGGGTGGAGGGATGGAGCATTCACAACTTCCTTGGGCAACCCATTCCAGTGCCTCACCACCCTCACTGTAAAGAACTTCTTTCTTATATCTAATCTAAACTTCCCCTGTTTAAGTTTGAAGCCATTACCCCTTGTCCTACCACTACAGTCCCTAATGAAGAGTCCCTCCCCAGCATCCTTGTAGGCCCCCTTCAGATACTGGAAGGCTGCTATGAGGTCTCCACGCAGCTTCTCTTTTCCAGGCTGAACAGCCCCAGCCTTCTCAGCCTGTCTTCATACGGGAGGTGCTTGAGCCCCCTCATTATCGCTGTGGCCCTCCTCTGGACTTGCTTCAACAGCTCCATGTCCTCTTTATGTTGAGGACACCAGAACTGTACACAGTACTCCAAGTGTGGTCTCACAAAACTCCAAGTGAGGTCTTTTGCTCTGCTAAGTACTTCCATATTTTTACTTTTTTACTTTTTTTTTTTTTGTGGAGTTGTTATTTCTGCCTTTGTATCATCCTGATCAGATTGTGTTTTTCTTCAGAAGCAGCTTACAGAGCATATATTAAATAATGATGATGAGTGCATACAAAACAATGCAAAGCCAGACTCTGGTATTTTTACTCATATTAGAGAACCTCCAATTCTAATGTGGAATCATGTTGCAGATAAACCATATTCAAAAGAAGTATTATAATTTAGAATAAATACAATACACACTAGTGTTGATTTTGGTCTCAAATAAAATTCCTATCAATATATTTTCTGTCTTGCACATAATTAACCTCTGTAATAAACGTAAAAATGCACAGAAAGTAAAAAGAGCATAATTTATCGATCTCTATAGACATTTTTGTAGACAGAAAATATGCTTAAACAAGTGTTTCTGAAAGCTGCAAGTTGTATAAATCAGAACTGACTGCACATTATAATGCAACAGAGGGAAACAACTGCCGCTAAGTTTGTCTTACCTGTTCCAAGAAACAAGACGTGATATCTCCCGTCAGCAGCATTCACTCGATCCACAGCGATCTTCGTATACTTGTAGTCAGCTCCTATCCGGATGATTAATGGCCTTTTGTGTATTGGGTAAATGGGATTAAACATCAAAGGGTGATTCCTGATGAAGGTCACAACATCATCTGGAAACTCTTTGGTTGTCCGCATATTAGGTGTGAAGGCTCCTCCTGGACACTGTAAGAAACATGCACAGTAATGCTTAAGAATACTTACCATCTTTCAGAGAGTTTTCTTCTCCAAGTCATTTACAAATATTGACAGATAGTTGACAAAGTAAGCTCCCAAAAGAGCACTTCAGACTCTGACTGAAAGTAATTACGTTCCAGTAACGGGAATGAAGTGCTTGAATAGCTATGCTTTGAACTCCCATCAATTCCGATAAAGCAAAAACAAATGTATTTTTGCACTTTCAAAACTCAGCTTGATGGCTAAGATCCATACGTCTGGACCTATTTCCACATTTGTTATGCTTTCAAACTGCCTGTTGAAAAAAATTCCAAGTGATTGGTATGGGAAGACATCAGGCTTTTGCACCTGGTTTGTTACAGAATTAGTACAAAGGCAAAAGGTAAAATCAAATACTTAACTGTGCTTTGGTCAATATCCCTCTAGCCATTGATTATGAGATGGCAAAAGGGCCTGTGACTCATCTTCATTTGAAAAAGCAATAATATGGAATTGAGAGGGTCCCATGGCAACTTATTTATGTCTGAAAAGATTGACCATTCACAAGATCTTGTCTATAGTTTCCCCTATGCCTGAGAAATAACAAAGGTCCATGAATACTGTGGATGCTTCTTTAAATGTCATGAAGAACCCTCCAAATAATCAGCCCTGAGGCATTTTGGACCTCATGAAGAAATAAAAACAATCTTAGAAAACTCAAGTGTTTTGAAACTAAAAGAAAACTGTGGGAAATCAGGAGATATGTCAGTAACTGGTACAATGTTCTGGATGTTAATTTACATGACTTTTTTTCAGCTACCGTTACCTCACTTACTGCTGCTCCACTACCAGACTTCTGAGCTGTGAAACTCTCCTCAGAGTATTGGAGCTATTCAGAAATGTTTCAGCACAATATTTTTCCAATTGGAAAATGTTCATTTGTTCAATATGAAGCATTTCATGGAAACTTGCTTATTTTGACGAGGACCATTCTTACATCTAGGATGGAATTTCTGGCCAAAACCACAGACACAAAAATAGCTAGTAGCTTAGGGAGAGATTTACCTCACCTGACTTCTACTGTCTCAAAGTCAGACATTTATTCATAGTTAGGCATCTAGGTTTCCTCTGTAGTTAGTAATTGAGACTAGATGCCCTGCTTTCAGATGGCTAAAATTACAGAAAATGAATCATACTCAGAGACTGGGAAAACTCACTGGGGATATTTGAGTCATGTGTCCAGCCTACCTGATGCAAGCAAATGTTACAATCTGAGACTTCACCTCCCAGGGGATCCCTCTAACCATCAGGCAGGATTGCCCCTTCTACCCTTGCTGCTAGATGTTCCAACTTGTGAGCCTAATAAACGATTTTTTGGGCAATAAAAGAAGCCAATTAGAGAGGGGATTGCAGCCCAACACCAGGCTTTAGAATCATCTGGCACAATTAGGATTTAATTATTTATACAAAATAGGACAGCTCTAGTAGGAATTCTTTAAAAGAAACTGCTCTGACATCAGTTACCTTCAGGAAGAAGAACCGGGACTGAGCTCGGATATGGGTCTCTTCCCATCTGGCATCCTTGACAACTGATTCTTCTGGACTTTGATTTATTCTGAGGTTTTTGGTTTGGTTCTCGTTAGAAATGACTCCATGTGCTAGCCCTCTAAGATTGCTCAAAAGAATTGAATTCTTATCATCTTGTTTGCTCCACTCCTTCCCTCTGTGGCACTTCCATCCACAGTCTTCCAGGAAATGTATGGACCTATCTGCTAAGATTAGTAACAAGTGCTGAAAAACGAACTGTGTTCGTAAATCTGTGGGCTATTAGCAAGATTATTCTACTTGGTAGTGATCTGCCAGACCCCAGTTCCTCTCCAGAGGGATACTGTTTCACAAGCAGTTCAAATTAAACTTTCCTGTCCCACACAGCTCAGTTAAAAAAAGGCTTTCTTTGATACTTTCAGTCCTTCCATTCTTGAACTGGAGATCGTAAGACTTTTGTGACTTCCTGCAAAAATGTTTGTGCTATGGTTCACCCCAGTATAACCCTAAAAACTTACATTATATCATTGTTCTGAGCAAAGCCTTAACAAACATCTTTAATCAATTAATTTTTTCGCTATCCATCCCCTGTATAAACCAGTGACAAGCAAAAGATGTTACTGAAGCACCCTATAAGCTCTCCCTTTCCGGAAGGGATTGAATGTGTATCCTTCACACCTCATTGAAGGACTTGGCTACGTGATACTTACGTTCACAGTTGATAAACAGAATTCTTTAATTTACAGCATATTCCCCAACATGCTGCAGGTACAGTAACTATTTCTGTAAACTCTGAAAAATGGAAACTATCATCAAACATCACTGAATTTAGTCACAAGGTGCCAATTATGTAATATTATTTTTTCCTTTCTTTTTCCATAAGCAAGGTTTTCTTGTGGAAGAAATAAGAAACCATTGGTATTTAGTGAAGGGCAGCCAAACACTCCGGAGTTGATTATGGCCAAATGAATGTATTGCTTTATTTAATCCTACTGAAGCTATACTGAAGCCTTTTCACTGTTTATCCAATGTACTGTGACACAATGAACATTCCTTTTTATCCAGAGGTTTAGTATCTCTTTAGGCAATTGTAAAGTAGGATTTTCCATATCCTATTAAAAGACATCCCTGTCTAGTTCAGCATCCCAGAAGATGCAAAAAACCCTATGTTCCAGAGGAAGGAGGTACATGCCCCATAGCCTACAAGCATTGCTATTCTCAGTTAACCCTTTTAACACAAGTTCTGAGCAGCAAAAAACCTCCACATCCTGATTTTTACAAATGCTTTGACATGAGTGAAAAAAAATGTTTGTGGCGTATATTTAAAAGTGGAACTATTTAGCAGTCAAATAAAAGCAAAGTCAAACAAGTCCCAGCTTAGAAAATATACTTTTAAGATACCATGTTGTGGCTGAATTTTGAGGAAGCACAGAAAAGCCAGTGATCAGAAAACCAGCAATGATCAATGATCATCTGAAAATAATCTCTTTTGCCTTTATTCTTTGTGTGAGCTATCCTCTAAGAACTCATCCTCAAATTCAGAGCTCATTGGCACATCTGAAAAATGTAGATAATTTCTGCCACCACGTTAAATCCAAATCTGAATTTTCTTTTTCCCTTTCCATTGGGCTGCCCAATTTCTCTAGGCCCATCTGGAATACCTCATAAGCCTCCATGAGGTGAACCAAGAATAACATGGCAGTGGTTGAGGAAACAGTATTCTGAAGCAGCAAGAAACTGCAACCAAGTGTCATAGTCACATACAGTCCATTATCCCAAAATAAATAACATTTATTTATGGATTAAACACAGACAAGTAATTGGCAAGCCTGAATAAACATCTTTATACTTACGGTGCCAGGTCGCGGGTAAGGAATTCTGCCCTGATATGGAATCAGCTGGTGGTTTGGGCCCTCCTTGTGTGCAAATGGCCCATTGAACACAGTCTGGATGTCGGACAGATGATACACGCACACAGCTGAGCCTTTAAATATGGAGCTGGAAAACAGTAGGAAAAAGTACTGCAATCTACCTACTTTTGTATAGCTTTTCCATCATTTTGCTTTTCCATCATTGTCCAACTATGAAATTGATCTCTAAAATAATATATTTAATATAATTTAATGCTTCTATAACATGGATTTAATACATTTAAAAATAAACTAATCTGGTTTCTCAATATATACCATTACTCCTTAGAGACCTAGCACCTTTTTGAACATTGAGCTATAAAAAGAGGAAGGAAGGAAGGTACTACCATACTGGTGGAGTAAGAAACTTTCCTAATGTTCAATATAAAAGAAATATAATTTGGCCCCAGTTAAATCAATGCCAAAAATATTGCTGACTTCAGTGAGACGAGTTTTATAAACTTTGTACTGCCAAGCTCAGCACAGGTTTCCAGAACTCCCCAACAGTGCACTAACCACAAGACCTCCATGAGCCTTTTAAATACATGGATAAAATATTAATCAAAACATCCAGTGCAATTACAATTGGATAGATGGTTACAATCAGTTTCCAACTTTTCCAAGCAAAATAAGGACAGGTTGTGGCTGTAAAGGAATTACTTGTATAGTCCTCAAATCTACCCATAAAACTGGTCTTAAAAAGACCCCTTCAAGAGGGCTGAAGTTTGAGTGTTTCTGAATAGAACCTGGGGGGTCACTTATGAAAAAGGCCTGGTTTTTACACCACTCTGGGTTCAGCAATGGTCTCAGACTGTCTCAGGCACCACAAGCCCTGAATGGCCGCCATCACCCCTTGATGGTGAAGGGAACTAGGGGAATAATTTCCAGAGTGATGTTAAGGTTGACTGCTGGGAATTAACTCCTTTCTTTCTCTCACTGCATATAAGGCTTGAAATATGTATCCTAACAAAGTGGAAACTCCAGATGGTCTAAAATCTGCCTGATATTAGCTGTAGGATGAAGATAATCCAAGTAACTCTGTTTTCAATTGAAGAAGGAAAAAAAACACTCCAGAAAAAACCCCAAACATTACACATAGTGTCTAAACAAGGAATGTGCAATCAGCTGTATATGGATTAGAAGGAGGAACCTTTTAGATGGAATAAGATATTTGTGGAATTTTAGTAGGTATTAATAAGTTTTAAGAAATTTATTAAGTCTTTCCAGATGTTTTATGTTAGATGTACAGCAGATTATGCCACTAAAATAACTTGCTTTAGTATTGCTTGCTTTCCCTCTGTATGGTTTAGATAAAAACACTAACAGTTATTATTTGCTGGGATGTTTCTCTCTTGTTACTGTTATGAGTTGGAGGTCTACAGAAGTGAAGATAAAGGAACTGCTAAGGATTAAAAATCCTTATGATTGCTGTATTTAAGTAGGTAACATATTCAAGCTACTGAGCAAAGAGAAAGCAAGCACAGTCCATGTGATTCACGATAACAGAAGTATATGAGTGTAAAAACCTCAATAAAGAGAGAAAACAGCTAGAGAGCCAGGAAAAAGTGAAGTTTTCTCTTTGTTGTCACCGTATATGGTCCTGTGATTCAAACCTCCTCTCCACTGCAGAAATACCAGGAGGATTAGGTAGAAGTGTTTCTAGTTCAGGCATGTTGCATCCACAACCTAACCGTTAAGTGTGGTTTTACTGCTAAACATAACCTCAGCATTTTCACCTTTTGTGTAGTAAGAAGCATAAAATGCAGACAGCACGAGATGTTTACAAGTTATGGGATTCTTTTTCTCCCAATGAAATATCATAAAATCATATTCACGTATTTAAGACAGCAGATCCCTGGATCCACATGAAAAAAAATTTACCCACATGAAAGAAGACAGAAAAGGGTTTCAGGAAAAATTATGTTTTCATGCAAGGATTTTTTAGTAGAAATTGTCATTTAAGGAATGGCTAGTAATAAATTAAATAATTTGCTAATTTGATTGCATAAATTAAAAAAAGCAGAAAATTATTTTGTGGGTACTAACAGCTAAATAATAGAGGATCTCAGAAATCAGCAAGCTGTAATTGTTTCTCCTCTGTATACTACAGAGAAAAGTGACAAAAGAAAAAGGTAGAGATGGCAGAATCTGTTGGTCCACCTGTTGGTCAACCTTTGTGGAGACTTTCATCATAGTAAGCCATAGCTAGTACTTCCACTGTTGTTGGGAACTCACTGAATGCTTTCTGAACTGGATAGTAAGTGAATACTACTGACTGATAATGGGGAGCTTAAGGCTGCAAGGAGGTAGCCAACTGAAGCTGACATGGGTTATTTGCCATCTGTGTGATCACCTGACGGCTGAGAGACTGGAAATGATTTGTATGAGTTCATCTAAGAATTCCCGGTTTGATCCTTCAGGGTGCTGGATGTCCTTCAGGAGGTGTTAAGTGCTCTCAGATGCCACGAGTTCACTGAGTTGAAGTCATTTAGCTTTCTGCTGCTGGACGGTAACAAGTAGCCCTCCACAGAAATGTTTTCCCACTGCCAGTTGACAGTATGTCAGGGAGCAGCTTGCACCAAGCAGCACAGCTCTAACATGGATACCAACAGCAATGATACTGAGACTGTTACTCCTGCGTGTGAATGATGGCCACAGAAGACATACAAAATTGCACAGCACAGCCTTCACCACAAACCATCACATTCAGTTTTCATACAGAAAATTGGGCTCTTCAGAAAGCTAATTGTTTTCAAATCTCCTCAATTACCTTGATGTTGTAAAAATCCCATACACAAGCGTTGTTCTGGGGTTATCTGTCTCTAGAAGAAACACATCCTCTGTAAGAAAGAAAAGGAAAAAGAAAAAAAGTTTCAAATACTAATAAAAACTTTATTTGCCAGTTTAATTTATTACTTTTTCCTGCTAAAGGCAACAGTAGTTTTGTCTCAGACTTGAATGGGGAAAAGCAGACTTCTCATATGAATGGACCATGTGCATAAATCTAGCATTTGAACATTCAGAAGCAGATTTGGAAATTAGCTCCATGCCATCTAGCCTTATGAGGACAGAAGGCAAAGATTTTCAAATATGTTCAGAATCCATGTCACACATTTCTCTCAGTTGGATCTTGTTTCAGCAGGTTGTTTAACAGTAGGCAAACATTTAAGCTGCAGTAGGTCAAAGATGAAGAATTCCTATTGATTTAATTCAAAGCAGGACACCTAATTAGGTGTTTTATTGTCCAGTACACACTCTAGATGCCCTCACTAGCTCATTTTCAACATGGTATGAATGACACACAACTTCACAGTGAAGACACTGAGAGATATAAACCTCCCAGCTCCTGTTGTATAGGGATTTATTGACTGCACTATGCAAAACTTTACCTACTCGCTGAACTGAATTGGCCCCATTGTGTCTGCTGTATAGATCATTCACTGAGTATCTGCAGTGTTTCACATGGTGAACACAAAATCTAAATGCCTGTATGAATCCTGAGAAATTATATTTATTCATAGTACTATTGCTGGTGCCAGAAACACGACTTATTAGTATTTATTAGTATTATCTTCAACTATCAAATTGAGGCCTCTATGCAGTGATCAAAAAAGAATAAGTGTATTGTGGAAAAGCTGTGTGTTACACAGTGGTATAAGAAACAGTTTCAAGGAGATGCATGTTAAAAACCCCTATCACAATCCTATCTAGGAGCAAAATAACAATAGACTTCCCTCACATGTTCCCTTCCTAATATGAGTTCTTCACAAATATAATTCCTTTCCATAGTCGAGATTAATTACTTTTATTTCAAAGTTAATGATAACTACATAGAGATATTTATAAGGATTTCTACATTTCCTGTCATAAAACTGCAAGGGGAATTTTGTCATTAATTTCTAGAGCCAAAACTTCACCATCAAGAACTTGACTAACAATCTGCAACTTCAATTACTGAATATGCAGAGGGTCCAAGATTTAGGTAAAACTTTTAAGGGATTTTTTTGCCATACCTAATTCATCAAAGTATGTTTCTGTTCCATCTTCATCCATTACTGAGCACACAAGTCTTGCTTTCAAGAATGTTGTCCACTTGTTCACAAGACTACGCTGACCACCTGTGTCATTCTGGAAAGCAATATTATTTTCAGAAAAATGCCATACAACACAGTTAACGTTTTACTGGGCTTTTACTCATTTTCCTCAGTTTAATTTGATTCATCATCTAGACAATTATGCTGGTAAATAAAATATAAAAAATAGACAGGCTCAAATCAAACCCCCTCATCCAAACACCCCAGACACAGGAAAAGCAAGAACTAGGGTTTTTGAGCAGAGTTTCTGTGCTGGGCTAGCAGTCCTGGGAGGGTTGGGCAGTAGATTTTGTGCAGCAGCAGTGTGTGTAGGTAGGTATGACTGGGAAGGACTGTGGAGGTTTGTATCACTCACTGACACCTAGTGTGGAGAAGTCCATGCTATCTCTAAAAGGTCTAATAGTCCTATGGAGAGAGTTGTGACAGCAGTATATCCACATCCGAGGTAGTAAGCCATGCTAGCCCATTAGGTGGATGCTCTGCACTCAGTTCAGAAATGATGGCTAACATGGCTCAGGCTGTTGGAAGTCCTGCTAGCTTGGTCCAGAGCTAGCTTGGCCACACGTCATGCAAGGATCTTCCCATCTCTTCCCGGTGTAAGGTGGAAACTGTTACTGTTAAACTAGATAGCACAGGACAGAGGTGATAGTTCCTGCCTCATTTCTAAGTTTCCTTTTTGCCTTTTTATGAGTTACATTGTGCTGGGCGGTTTGGAAGATACTGCTCTTATCTAAGGCGTTCACCAGTCAAATGAGGAAACTCAGAAGTCAGGCAAATGTGATTTTGGTGAAATGCTGTGCATGCCTCACTGGTGCTCTTGGAGTTTGTAATCCAATTTCTTGGGTGACCTATAAGGGGTCTTTTGGGGGGTTCTTCCTTGGCACTATTGTACTAATATATTTGGCCAGTCTCAAAGGCATTGATATATGAATATGATGGTATACAAGTACACAAACACGACTGACTTAGATTTATTGTCATTGCCTTTGAGATCCTGTCACTGACTTCAGTGTAAGCCTAAACAGGCTGAGGCCTTTCAGAAATCATCTGGGCTTCATTACAATAGTAACAATAACAAATACAGCTATAATTGCATGAAATGTCTTCTTGCAAAATACCGAAAAAGGCCTTTGGGCACCCTCACAAAAATATAGAAAATGAGGATTATGAAAGAAATCACATGCCTCATCATATTGCCAGCAAAGGAGTTCAACACAATCCCAAAGATGCCCTCACACCCGTACACAACAACATCACAAAGCACCAAATTCTAAAGAAGGCCCAGATTAAGGACAGAGAATACACAGACCCTCACAATTACCTTCCTGAGCCTTTCCAATAGAAGGAATGGAAATGCTAGCAATAATAGTGCATTTACAATTTTTCTCTCCTTAAAAAAATATCCATTCCACCATAGATAGAAAGGGCTGCTTCAATAATTTTTCATCTACAGTTGACTACAAATATGAAAAAGGAAATAGAGACAATGAGAGCTGTTGTTGTAAATTAATTACAGCACGGGAGTAACCATAACTCCTGAATTTAATTTTCCTGTGCACATTTTTTAAATTAGACTCACACACACATCAATGCAAGAACTCAGAAAGGCAGATATGGTAAAAATGAAAACAATAACTGAAAGTTAAATTAACCCATTTAAAAGTTGGCTCTGGTATTTCCAATGTGTTTCAAAGATTTTGAGTGCGTGTGTATGCATGTGTGTCTGTGAAAGACTTCATTGTCTTATAATTCAGTTTTCCTAAGCAAATAATGTACCTCATTTGGGCAAAGGACACAAGTTTGGAAATTCAGCACTGGTAACTATTCTGACTCAGAGAAATACACAAATCGCTGAATCTCTAGAATTCCATATCATTATAGATATAGCCAGAATACGTAACATGTTCAGACTCTAGTTGTGTGTTCAGTAACAGCTCTTCTTAATTATGAATGTGGAAGCTGAAACAGGAAATTTGTTTTGAATATAAATCAAAGGCCTTTCAATCATTTAGTCTTTTAGCTTATCATGTCACACTAGCAGCTTGTCCGACAACCTGTCAAACAAAATAGTTCTTACTGGGCATATTCTCGCAATCATGGAATGAATTTGTTTTGTGCTGCCGCTGTTGTCTGTGAGTTTCTCTTTGAAGAAGAAGTAGATCTTGGCATCATTGGGGTCAGTGCCATCTGGGATAACATGAGCATCCACAAAAATAGGCTCTGAAATGAAACCGTATACCAAAAAGATGAAACCAAAAGATATATCAGTATAAGCAATTAATGATTTGATAGTTACTGACTGCTTCAAGGAAACACCATATAATACATACAGAGGTACTGCTGTGGCAGTACTGCTCTAGCCTTATGTCTGTATATACCAGATACCACCAGGTAAATGGCTCCCTGCTGGCAGCCTTCAGTTTTTGCATCCTTGCATTTTATCCCACAGCAGATTTTAGAAAAGTGATTCAAATGCAGAAGCAGAAGTATTAGATTTCTGCAGAGATTCAAAGACTTGGAGAAAGAAAAGGGGAGCAACAGTGTGTTATCAGGGGCACTTAAGGAAAGCCCCGTTGAGGCAAAACATAAAAGTAAACTGTTGAAAGACTCATTAGGAGAAAAACAAGTAAGATACTTAAGAAAGGAAAATAACAGAAAAGAAAAGCGGGGTAGACAAATGCTTGAACTGCATTGGAGTTCCTGTCAGAGGTTGATAAACATAGCAAAGTGTACATGCAAAATGTTTACATGCAAAATACAGCAAAGAAGCACTAAGGGGAAAGCAAAATAGTCTATATCCTTAACAGCAAGCATATAATGGAGAGTGGAAGAGTACTTAGAAGACCTTCTCCTTTGTCTGAATGAAGAAGTGGACTCTCTGCCTGCATGAAGGCTATACCTTTTAATGATCAAACAACATTGCCTGATTGGTTGAAATCCAGTAAAAATCTTGAAACAACCCAATACAAAGGTTATATGTCTGACAGAAAACTCACTAAGACTGCAGCATTTTTCTATTCACATAGCCCATTCTCAATCAATATAACAAGTGTCATGACTCTGACTCTAAAAGAACATGGAAATAAATTGTGCTTGTCAAGTACGTGTTCTGAGCAGATGTAACATTTTCCAAAAATTATGCATTTTAATAGTCCTTTATTCCCTAATTCACTTTAGGCTGCACACTTCAGGGTGTGCAGGTAAGTGTAAGAATGCATACCAAACACAAGAAAATTTAGAAAGCAGACATAGTTTCCCATTCATAGTGAACTGAATTTGTTCTGATTGCAGTCCTGTGATTTCACTATACTCACATGGGAATAAGTCACCCTAAAAATAGTCAAGATAAAACCAGAATAACTTTACTTCAACATACCTGAAAGTCTTTTAAAATTGGAAATACTTCGTTAGTTGCTCTGTAACCTTTGATATCTACCTCTGCTCAGAGGGTTTGCCACCATTTTAATTCAAAACAGTTTAACTTGAAGGAGTCTTCTTATGAGTAAAGTCAGGAAAATTTTGACATTGATTTCACTGAAGCCAAGAGTTAAGCGTTTGCACTTAGAAACTAGTTTTCCCACTGTGTTTTGATAATCAATTTCTTAACACTGAAATGAATGGCAATAATTGTTTCTGACTTCTCTGATAATGGGACTCTGTTCTGCACACATTTTGAATGCAAGTGGTGGTGAGTCTTCTGAGGTATATCAATCTGAATTAACAAAATCTTAGAATTGAGCACTCTAAGGCAGTGTCTGATGCATTAGAGGTGGAGAAGGCACTTCCCTAGAAGTCAGATTGTGTGATCACTTGCCATTTGACAGATTTTCATACACTCTCCCTTGAACAGTTTGGTTGAGTCTTAATGCAGAAAAGGCTGTCAGGTGAGGTGGCCTAAGGGTTTGGCTCATGTGGTGAACCCTTTACATCTGTACATTGACTACAGTGTGTATTTACACACATTTTTTTACGGTTCAACTTCATAAGTGAAATTCAGAGAAAAGCTCTGTAAAAGACAAGCTTTTGTTTTAACGAAAACAAAGCAGGATCTCTGTGAAACCCATTAAAAGCCCTGGTAAAACAAAGGCATCTCACCACTCAGCCACTTGGAGTTGTGCTGGTCAGTTCGCACCGCATTCCTCCTGGTCAGACTCCGAAAAATGGCTGCATCTGTCCCCATGAAATCAATATACATTCCTGAAAAAAGCTCCTCATCTGCAAAGAATTGAAATGGAAGGGAAAAAGTAGACGCATTGTTATGGCTTTTGGGAAAACCCTATTTACAGATCTATTTTTATTTTAAGTTTGTCAGCCCTTTATTTACACAGGAGTGCATACAGATAAGTTTTGGGTCATGGGAATGGGGTTTCCCTCTGATTTACAAAGACACAATCTAGAATGCACAAGAATCATCAGATTTTTGCTAAAGACTTCAGGGAACTGTATAATTAAATGCAGCAGCAGATCTGCATATGCGGTGAACCTCTCCTTGATATGAAGTTTGGCTGCTCAGCTTTCACTGCAAAGGATCACTGGAAAATCAGTCTAGTGTTATTAAAAAGAATCACATTCAATTTTTTAAGTACATACTTCTAAAAACTTTTTTTGTTGTTGTTATGGAAGTAGAGACTGGGCTGAATTTATTGCTGGTGTAAACTGGCACAACATCTATTGCAGTCAATGAGTCAGCACCAATTTTTACCAACAGTATTGTCAAGGCTGCCTCAGGCAGCTTCAAGCTGACATCAGTATTGCAGAGGTCAGACAACCATAGTATTGAACTTTACTCAGAGTAAGACACAGCAACAGTTGTCCCCTTTTATGTACTTGATTCTAAGTATAGGGTCATTATGCTTGAACAGAATTAGACACGCAACTCTTACGTTAACAGAACTATGAACTTTTGCTCCCTGTGCAGGGATGAAAACTCAGTCCATCAGTCAGGATGCATATCTGTGTTTGTGTGAGTCTCTGTGTGTGCATAAATATTCGTATACGTAATTATAATTACATGTACTATCATTTTCTACTTGGTGAATAACCAAGCAATTTCCACTGACTAATGACAACGAAACCCCAGAGTAGAAAACAGTAGCTAAAATAAACTCTAACTCTCAGAGTGGGAGTGGTGGCTGAATACATTCCAGTACAGCTGGGTCCTTTGATTAATGTTTTTGTCTGGATTCCTGGACTACCCAGAGAGTGTGGTCAAGCTGGCAAGAGGAACAGGTTCAGAAGCGCTTGAGGCTATTTTTATGCTCTCTCTGTGTGTGCATCAATATGAAAGACTATTGGCTCATAAGAGAATTAAAACTCTGGAGATTTTGTTTTTCTGCTGCTGGCTAGAGCCTGAACTGAACCCCTGCAAAGCAGCCAGCAGCCGCCCTTCTGCTCTCATCTCTCCCAGTGATGACAAGATTCATACGCAGGGGATTTAAACAAGACTTTTGCTGCATGTTTGTGAAGCATTTACTTCCTGAGCATGTACTGATGGGATTATGTTAGACCTACAGTAATTTATTACTGATTTTGCATATTTGTCTCATCGCCTCAATCCATCAGAGCTTTATTCTTATTATGAAATAAACAGGTTGAGAGAGATCAGGCTTACGGTTCTCACTAAACATTACGTACAGTCCTATGCATACACATGCACACACACTTTAACAACAGCACTACACTATGTAATTTTGATCCTATACATATAAACTCAGTTATGTCTTAAGCATTCCTAGTGTCTGCTTGCTAATCACATATCAGATGATATCCGTCAGCTCCATTTCCTTTTGGTTAAATTCTTAAACTCTGCACAGCGCTTGGTCTGCACGGCACAACTAGTTCACACTACTGCTCTTTGTTACTGGGGGGAATTACTGAATTGATGAGGTATGTCTGCTTTTATATCTCAGAGTGTTGGTGGGGAAAGAGACATGCATCCTGCACATTAGTTATGCCAAGCTTCTTCAAAGCTCATTTTTCATTGCTTTGATGCAAAGGTGTTTTTGTCCAATGGTAAACTGCACCAGGTTTGAATTTATTTTTATAGCATCACTTTCCTCTGAAGGGTGAATCAGCTTTCCTGCTGTATTCTAGGCTGGTCATGCCCCAAACTGTCAAGAATATATATCTATATTTAAAACTGGTTCTTTTGTTGTGGAAGAAATATCCAATCTAGCAGTATTTCCCTTCTTCTTCTGAAGAGAGGGGAAGGAAT